TATATATACCTCCTTCCCTCCCACCAAACCCTTCTTTTTCCTGAGCCTGCTGTTCACTGCGTCTATCTCATAGACTCGATATGCATTTATAACCCCCCCCCACAAGAACAAAAGAAAAACATTTTAGGGTAGTGTGTAACGGTAACTATACACACTGACCTATGAAAGCGCTAGGGTAAGGAATATGTTCATACGTGACCATAACTTTGCCTGGAAAACGAACGAATTCTCAAACCAAACGGGTACCAAATGAACCAACTCACAGAGACTCCAGATTCAGCTTTTCGAAAATTCCCTTTGCAATGCAGCGTAGCTTATTGTTATTAAGCATACTGGAATAAAAAAAACAATAGACCTATATTGTAGTCTCCGCTGGTTCGTATGGCTAAATGTTGAGAATTTATGTTGACAAATGTAATGCACTACTCACACTGTTGCTTAAAAGCACCATGAACGAGAGGATCAGCTGGGCTTTAGGTGAGCCTCCGGATAAGCCAAGTTGGTTTGCAAATCAGTGTATTTCGCTAATTTCGTGCAATTAGGATTCAAGTGGAACGCGAGGTTGACGGAAACTCAGGGACCTTGCCTACTTGATGGGCGGGTGAAACCGGTCGTCGGCTGTCGGAGAATTTTCAGCAATCTTATAAGTAGTGTGTAACGTGAATCCAGAGGAGTTAGGAGGGTGGCCTGGTGCAAGTTGTTAGCCCATTGTGGATGTTACCTAGTGAATTTGATAGTTTGGACCATAACTGCGTGTGCTCTTGTTTGAAGAAATAAATGCAACCAAAGCATAGCCAAGAGATGGCGAAAGTAATGCAAGGACAGTCGTGAAGGGTGGCCTTCGGGTTGTGTGCTCTTGTTGGCCCCATGAACATATGATTTCAGACTTTAGTGGATGGCGTATTGTTGCCATGAGACCGGAATACGATATTACATTACCATTTATATTGCCATCTTAACTCACCCTCAGTATATTATATTATGTTATATTATATTGTACTATATTA